GCTTTATATATAATATATTAATAAATATAATAACCTTTATAAAAGGAAGGCTTTTTTTATTATATTTTATATAATAAAACTATTATTATATATATATAAGCTATTAATTTATTATTATTAAAGTGGCTAATGTGGTTTATATTTAAAACTTAAGCTTTATTTATAATAAAAGGTAAGGGTGGATAAGGTTTACTATTTAAGGTTAAAGTGGATAGGGTACTTAATAAAATATATTTATAAGTAGGATTATTAATTAATAAAAACTTTTAAAGATAGTTTTAAAATTAAGGGTAGGTTAACAAGGAGCTTAAAGGATAATTTAAAAGGTGAAGGTAAATTAACGAAGAATTTAAGGGTTAATTTTAAAGGTAAGGGTAAGTTAATAAGGAGTTTAAAGGTTAATTTTAAGGGTAAAGGTAGGTTAATGAGGAGCTTAAGGGTTAATTCTAAGGTTAAAGGAGGTTAGGGATCCTTTTAAAGGTGGTAAATAATAGCTTTAACTTTAAAAAAGGATAAATAGATAAATTGATTTAAATAATAAAGGATAAGGTTTTTAAAAAGTAGGAGGTACCTTTTTATTTAGCTTATTATAAGGTGCTTGTTTAATATAACCTGTTTAATGTTATAGGGTGATATATTAAAGTGAGGTATTATAGTTAAGAAGTAAAGTACATTATTAAATTTAAGTAATTGCTGTTTAAAATGAAAAGTAAAAGGTTTTTAAATTTAAAGAAACGGGTATTTAATAAAGTTAAAATATTTAAAAAGGTTAGGGATATTAAGGTATTATATTATATATAGATTTTAGTTTTATAATAGTAAGCTTATTCTATTTAAAAGTATAAATTAATTAAAGTATATAATAATAAAATTAAATAAATAAATATATAATAAATTAATAATATTTATATAAAGCTAAGTAAATAAGAATATAGTAGTTAATTAATAATAATTATAAAAGATATATAATGACTTAATAGCAGTTAAATAAAGAATAATAGCTTAATAGCGGCCGGAAAGATATTTAATAACTTAATAATAGCTTGGAAAGAAAAAAAAAAGATATAATAACCTAATAATAGTTAGAAAAGATATATAATAATTTAATAACGGTTAAAAAAAAGATATAATAATTTAATAGCGGCTAAAAATATATATAGTAAAAGTAGTATTAATTAATTTAAATAAATTTATAGATTTTAAATCTAATAATATTTTAATAGAAAACTTACAATGCGAGCTTTAATTAATAATTAGGTTTAGGATAGGAGTATTAAAAATAGTAAGGTATAAAGATAGCAGTTATTATATTAGACTATCTTTCCTCCGTATTATATAAGTGGGGAGGGGTATAACTATTTATAATATGGTTCATCATTCCTCACATTGGTCGTGACTATTCAAACTGGTACATAAGGATAGCATACCTACTTACTGGTTAGGTCCTTGACCACTAAACTTCCCACCTACACCTTCACTTCTTTAGCTAAGTAAGTACCTAGCTATAGCACTCGCTGATTGAGATAGATATTCAATAAAGCATATTGGCTACAGCTGTTCACTCTTAACAGGTATGTACTTCGTAGGTACCTACCTGGTATCATGATGCAGCATTCTATTCATACAAATAACGTTAGTTATAAATTTATATAGATGTATATAGATATCTTGCGCACTATCTATCTATTTCGTTAGTTAAAATGTGAGTAGGTTGTGATCTTTAATCAACAGGGTTACGTCCATGTGACCAGCATAGAACCAAAGAGCATCCATCACTTTTCCCGATTTGAAACGCTCAATAATTTGAATGCGAACATATTCATTGGTCCCGTGTTGGTAATAGTTTGGATATCTTCAACAGCGAGTGTAGGCGTCTCGTTGACGCGGGAGCACTGATACGATGTTTAGGAATAGTACCTAACCATCCACATCCACATTCACGGTAGCAGTTTCTACACCCGCATGCAAAACTCCCGAGGTCCCTCTTCTCGACACTTGAGTGCGCCAATACGATAATGGTCAAAATACGATCACGTAAATACAAACTCTATCTATAATGACTGGTGAGAGCCAGGCTCTGCTACGCTCTTGTTATCTTCAAAAGCTAAGTGCAGTCCTTACTCTTGAACGTCCTGCTCACAAGGCATTGAAAGAGCAACCCGCCCATCCACTCTTTCGAAGTATACATGACAAAAGCATGGGCAATTTGTAGAACACATTGCCGGGAATTCCACATTTTGTAGTTGGAAATAAAGTTTCGTAAGTAGATAACCCGAGAGCGCGTTTTTTTTTTTTCATTACCGGGTGAGAGCTACCAGGGATGAAAGTCGCAGCAGACAGAGTGCCGACAACCGGATGTGATGTCCAAATTACGTCATTTTCAACATAAACGACCACCTCCCTTATTGAACATGTCTTTAGAGCATGTGTCTAGAAATGGCCGGTTACATACGAGGCAGGAACCGAAGCAGCTTGATTTCTTCAGTTATAGATAGGTAGCTAAGAATTCGCTCCTTACACAACTTTTTACGAGTTTTCATGATAGGTATATAAGCCGATATAATGAGCACCCATACCATAAGCCTATGCCAAGATTACCACCAAGACGATTGACAACCTAAGTACATATGGTGGCATCGACTGAAAATATCCCAGAATCCCATGGCGTCCTAGTCGAAATGGTTAAGGTACAAAGCATTGTTACGAAAGAGCATACATGTAAAGAAGCGCCAGCGAATCGTGGTACGGTACATGTGAGATCCACGTCGCCAGGGTCTCCAACCAGCCAAACCCCACCATTGCGACTGTCTACAGAAGCAACAACGGCAACAAAGTCTGAGACTTCGGAATTTACTTCGTTTTCCCATCAGGCGTATCTAGATTCGCTACAGCCGCCATCAGGCCAGGAATTTAAGCGGCTGTGTAGTGCCCAGGAGGAAAAAGAAAAGGAGCACAGACGCCGCAACAACGACTTGCGGCATAGCAATAAGATAAATGCATATAAAAGCATTGAGGCACGGCGCGACTTCATGAAGACCAAAGTTATAGAAGAAGATGCGGCAAAGCAGCAGAACGAAGCGGTGCAGGATCATCACTCCTCGAGATCCCGATCAAGGGTGAACAGCAGTGAAGACGGGGATAACAGTAAAGTTTCAGGCGAGAATGCAGGCCCTGAATCTCTAAAGACCAAGGCTGCTACGGTTATCCAGCGCAGCTACCGTGGCTATCGTGTACGACGAGAGATGCAGGGACTAGGACTAGATGCAAGCACGAGGTGGACGCACGCAATTCGAGACGCGCAATGGAAAGAGATAACAAAGCCTCGGGCCAGAGAGGATCAGATCACCGCAGGCCCCGAAAGCGAAAACGGCGATGGTGTGAACAGACCAAACACAAGCAGATCGCATGCGCGCCAGAATTGGATGAAAGCAGCGGCGATCGCGCGGAGGGCCGGTGGCGATGAGGACTCGGATCACAGCGCCTCTAGTGACTCATCATCTTCACCAGATAGTGAGGAATTAAGGCAAATGGACGCCACCAAGCGTGAAGCTGCGCGGCGGAAGAAAGAAAGGGCACAGGTGAAACGAAGAAAACACGCGCGCATGATGGGATTGCAGTATTTTCTAGAGATGGTGGATCTCAAACACCGGTATGGCTCCAATCTGCGCACGTATCATAGAGAGTGGCAGCAATCAGACACGAACGAGAATTTTTTCTACTGGCTAGATTATGGAGCGGGAAAGGACTTGGACCTTTCAGCGTGCCCACGGGAGAGACTGGACCGCGAATGTGTGCGGTATCTCAATCGTGAGGAGAGACAGCATTATCTAGTGAAAGTTGACAACGAAGGCCGGCTTGTATGGGCAAAGAATGGGATCCGTATTGACACTACGGAAGAATGGAAAGACAGCATTCATGGAATAGTACCGGCGGATGACCCGACACCCGCTTTCTCTCCCGAGGTCGAGCGACATGCGCAAGCCAGAGTACATAATAACCCAGATCACCCCCGGGACCGGTCTAATTCAAGCTCGGGGTCTTCCTCCTCATCACGAGAAAATGAACTCGAAGCTGCAAGAGCCGCAAAATACGCCAATACAGACCTCGACAAGGCGAAAGGCGTGAAGAAGGTTACGCATGTATCGGCTGCAACTATCTTTAACAGGTTGTTGCGCAAATCAGTGCGTAAGAATACCTGGATCTTCGTGGCGGATACCTCATTCCGACTCTACGTGGGGATCAAAGCGAGCGGCGCATTCCAGCACAGCTCTTTTCTACAAGGAGCGCGGATCTCAGCCGCGGGCCTAATCAAGATTAAAAACGGCAGACTATCCAGTCTCTCGCCCCTCTCGGGGCACTACCGCCCTCCAGCGTCGAACTTCCGCGCATTCGTGCATAGCCTGGAAGACGAGGGCGTCGACATGTCGCACGTCAGCATCAGCCGTGCTTACGCTGTCCTAGTCGGGCTCGAGATGTACGTCAAGACGCGGCAGAAAGGGAAAAGCGCCTTGAACAAGGTCAGCGTGAAGAAGATGAAGATTTTCAGGCCCGAGGAGGCGAAGAGGATGGAGGAAGAGGCCTGGGATAAGAGCCAGAGTGCAGCGAAGGAGAGACGTGTGCTGGAAAAGGAACGCGAGATCGAAGAAAGGAAACGCGAGGAGAATAAGGCGAGCGTGAAGATTATGCAGAAGCTAGGCTTACGGCCTCGGACCCCTTCCGTGCCAAAGGACGGGATGCAGGGCGACAATAGTTAGACTGCATCGTAGCAGTATGTCTACAGACCATCGGTCTCCGAGTATGTTTAAAGAGCATAAATTCTTGTAATGATTGGCTATGGTTTATTCAGGCTTTAGGCGCCGTTTGTATATCCTGGGAAAAGCGGGAGGTTGCCTGTGTGTTTGTTTGGATGAAGTTCATGAGCCGAAGTATGATTAGCCCAATAGATAATCCGAGTAGTTTGGTTCCAATACAGTTACAGTCATCTAATAACACATTAGAACGGGTTATTTCCTTAATCACAATAATTATCAGCTATGCTATAGATGAACCTATTGTTGAGCGCAACGCAGTTATCAGAAGAGTTGCTAGAAACCATGCTATAGCGTGCCTCAAACTAGGCAGTTCGAAACGAGATCCCGAATAACAGCCTACCCGATCGCCGCAACATGATCCGTTACCAGGCAAGTCCAATCATTAGAACCTGTATAGATTGTATGCCCGTCATTGTGCGTCTGGCCGGTACTGAGGGTTGTACCAAGCTGCCAGAACAAATCGGCAGATACACCGTCGGAAGCATGAGACAGGGCGGTTTTCTGCCACGGGGCTTCGATTGCGCAGTGATTGGACGTGTATCCATCTGTAAAAAGACTCGTCAGCTTGTATGCAACAAAAACATCTTCCCTCGAACTGCGGGAGTGAGGGCGAAGTTGAGGTATGAACAGGGATATATGGCAAGCTAGAGCCTAGAAAGAGACTTACACTCTTCAAACAGGCACGGCTTCCCAGCAGCTTTACACGCGGCAGCGTGGGCTGTGATCCAGAGATTCCCCCAGTTGGTCGAAGTACCCCAAGAGCTGGGGTAAAGATGGAATGTTCCGAAGTCGAGAGTGGAGATCTTTAGATTGGCCTCGAAGTCGACACCCTCGCTGTACTGGAAGGGATAGCTTCCGTCGGAGTTGCTCTTCAGACCGAACCCCTCGTCGCCGAGCGTTACCATGTGCTTTGAGTCGAGAGACTTGATGTACGCCGATATCTCGGTGGCCCATTTCGTAATGACCGAGGTCGCACAGCCTTTGCAGCGGGGCTCGTTGGCGAGCTCCCAGGCGAACACGGCGAGCGAGGATGAGTATCGCGATACTACGGCATTGATGTATTTCTTGTATTGTGTTTGGGCCGCGGTGTTTGTGAACCAGCTCGTTTCGGAGCCGCCGAAGGCCCTGACGTACTATTGCGAGCCAATATCAGTTCCGTATTTGCACTTTGCTTTCTGTTTCAGGATGGTGCGTTTTCGATGTCTTCATCTCCTAATATCCAGTTGAATATGGCAATACTCACAGCAGGGATGCCGCCATAGTCGCTCCAGTTATTCACAAAGTTGATGATCAACTTGATACCCCTCTTTTCAGCAGCCGAAACGACATAATCAAGCCGTTGAAGTCCGTCGGCACCTGTGTTGATCGTAGAGCCGGAGGATGATAGCTTCTGGAACCAGACGGTGCCAGGTGACGGAGTCGTTGTCACGTCGTTGAATCCCCAGACGCGCAGGATCTTCAGACCAGAGTCTACTAAAGCATCAAGTGCCTTGTCGATGTCGGCGTTGTTCGTCAAAAACCCGATCCAGTACGAGTTTGTACCTGCGAAGTAACCCGTCTTGCCGTCGATTTGAAACTATGCGACCTAGTTAACACTGTCTTTCCAATCCTTTTTAGGAGTAACAACTGATCCCTCTCGGTGAGCAGAACAAGAACCTGAGGTTTTCATATAGTCTGTGCCCGGGTAATCGGATAATTGATATGGTCTACTCACCCTCAAACCATTGGTTGATGCGAATGATGTAGAAGTCGGGTTACTGCCTCTGGTTGTCGTCCTAGTAGTTGTTGTAGCCCTAGTTGTCGAGGCTCTAGTAGTTGTGGTCAACGTTGTTGAGCCAGTACCTAAATAACATAGTTAGCACCATTTTTGATTCGTTCATATCATATATGCTTCAATCTATCCATCTATCTCACACAGTCCCAGAATTAAGGATAGGAAGAGGGTTCATACTCGCCAGGCACTGCGAATAGTAGTCATTTTGGTACTGGCAGGTGGCTCCAGACACGCATGTAGTCTCTCCCGTATAGCCTATGCCACCACATTGGCCATAGAGGGAAACAATAGCTGAGGCGGTGCCCAGGAGGGCAAACAGCCCAGCACCAATCACCTTCATATTAGGCAAGTCTATCTCTCGGGACACTTGAACAGTGAAATAGATCAGCTTGAGAATTGCACGGCAACATACAGCGGACAACAGGTCAATTATATATGCCCCAGGATATCGGGTACTTCGGTACTTATAATTGCCATATGGAACTCTTAGTATGTTAGCCTCAAGACAGACGATGTAACGTGGTTACTGGGAACCTAGGGATCTCTCCTTCCGTAGACTATTATTTGGGCCAGCCGCCGGCGAACACTGAGCCTTGACTACGAATAAACGAACTCCATCCTAGGAAACTTCGAGCTCAGCTCAGGGTCTAGGCTCATTGATGTTAGAGCTTCGTAGCCTTCAATGAAGCACTGGGTCATTAAGTGCGTCGAGCTCGCTTAGCTACATTCTCTAACAATGGGAGCTCGCAGGCGCAAGCATGGTCCGATGTTGGACGCGTGAATACCAGGGCCGTAAATTTGGAGAACCCCAGCCTGGAACTTACGCCGACTGGAGAAGAACGGCTAGTTAGGAACTTTGCTAGCAAGTAAGTCGATTTTCATAGGGCCAAAAAAATGAACAGAATAAGTAAGAAGACTAATGCTGATCGAGTATCAACCCCTGATACAAGTGCCGATTTTTTATCTCTCTTAGGAGAGCGCAGTCTTTTTTTCTCATGAGACCATGAAGTGCCATCATTCGGCGCTTCAAAGAACCCTGCCTTAATCGGGGTAACATATTGACTAACCTTGATATGGCAGAGATGAAGCCGGCGCGAAATCCTCCGAGGTTCCTATTCGACTGTAATGGGCCCATATAGTATCTTTCCTTGACACTTTCTATGCTTCTAGGCAGGTGTAAGTAGTTATGCAATATTCTGAAGGACATTTGTGTAAGTTTAATTAGGGAGCAGCCAAGTGCCATAAATAAGCTTTGTCGAGAAGCACTTGCTAGTTGCGGATGTATGGAGTACCAAAGCTGTCTGACAGAGAAGAGCGGATATACTGGTATTGAACATATATTTTTATGAACCGGCGTCCAACCAGTTGTAATACCCCACTCAAGTTTTGTAATCCAAGCTCGGTTATACATCAGAGCATGGCAATGATTGGTCGCCTTCTATCCTCGTTTGATGTGATTGTAGGAGTCCTGATGTAGTGTTAACATTGCTCGCAGAGCATGCGAATACAGCTCGGGGGTTCTCTGTGGAGGATAGGAACATCTCAACAGTATCCCGGAGCTCGATCTCATAATTTCCGGTGTCCTATCATAAAGTATAAACCTAATTTATCCATATTTTTATACTATTTATAATCGTTAGAAACAATCTAACTCCTTTGTGAGGTCTCTGCCCTATAGGGCTTTTCGAGAACTCCGGATTCATTTAATGGAGCTCTATCATCGTGAATGTATATCTGCATGACCTTGGGTCCGGGGTAGTGGCGGGTGGCATGCACCAGCCACCAGATAACTGATATTGCGATGGTGCCAACAAGGATCACGCTATTGTAGTTCATTGATTCGACCGTCGTAGGAATCTCATATGCTGTAGCGCCAGTCAGCGATGCCATCAAGTTGATCAGTCTCGTTGACCGGGGTTTCTTACGGAAGGAGAAGAACACGACAAACACGGCAATAAGCAAAACCGCTATCAAGTTTATAACATTGCCAAATTTCCCGAGATGGAAAGGGCCAGGTGGGAAGTACTTTCGGCCGGCGAGAACATTTGCAGTAAAAGGTATAGCATAGGATACTGTCGTGAGGACGATAAAGGAGCCCGTCAACGCCAAGAAGGCGCTTGAACTTCCAAGTGGTATGGCACCCAGCCCGGTGGCGAAGAGACAGACAAATACTGTGGCTTGGACGGGACAACTTAGTGATTCGTTAACCCGACCAAAGAATGAGGAAAAGGGGACAGCGTTGTCGCGAGCAAGTGCCCAATATGTTCGTGAGTTCGTAAGCACGGTCCCTATACAGCAACAAATACTAGTTAGAAACAGTATAAACAGGAGACCGAAAGTTGCCGGGACGCTTTGAGTTGCCTGCTGGTAGATTCCTGCCAATGGATATGTGTTGTAACCTCCTTGCAGCTGGGTGATATCGGTAATGGCGTAGCTTAGAGCGATCGCAAAGACGAATGCGTACAAGAATCCAAGACTGAGCTGTAACCCAATAGCTTTCGGAAGATCCCGTTTAGGATTGGGGAGCTCTTCGGCAATGTGAGTAATAGCATCAGGTGTACCAATAGTAAAAGCGCCGTTTAACACCCCTAGGAGAAAGGCCACACCGCCCTGCCAGCCAGTCAAGTTATTTTCGTTGAACGAGGCCCAAACAAAGTGATTAGACGCATGAGTCTTCGGCATAGCCGCAATGACTATAATGGTGATTATGCCGCCGACTATAACGAAGAACATGCCGGCCGTCTGAGTATACGGCACCAGTCGATTCGCAAAGATAACGAAAAGGGTCGAAAGCCAAAGTAAAGCAACGTATGTGACGTATACATGCCATGGTTCCGAAACGTATGCCTCTTGATGATATGTCGCATACAGCTGAACGGCAACGTTGGCTGTAATCTGCATCAAGGACGCCAAATCAAACATCCATCCATAGAAGTTGATCCAACCTGTGAAGAACCCAAGCATCCGGCCCCATTTAGGGCCGCCCGCAATAGTAGCCCAGTGGTAGACACCGCCAGCGGTTGGAACTGATGACGCGAGCTAGAAATGTAGTTAGCCAGACGGCACATAGCTTTGGTAAAGTTGTGTAATTCGCTCAGTGTCGATAGGACAGGCGTTGTTAAGTATAGAACACACCTCAGCCAAACTCAGGCCAATAAAGGAATACCAAAAGAGTGCTACTATCAAGCCATAGATGAGACCGGGCGGCCCGCCGTTAACTGTTATAGACCCCGTATGAGCAAGTACGGCACAACCCAATTATCGACAATAGAATGGCTACATTTGACTTACGGAAAGAGACCGATATAGAGGATCCTAGAGCAGCCCATGCATTATCGACAGTTAAGGCAATGCCAACAATCCCCCAAAGGCCGTACTGGCGTTTCAACTGATCCTTATAACCGGCATCATTAATCTCGACACCTCCGTCAATTGCGGGAACAACTTCAACACCCATGCCTCCCAGTTCCGGGTGATGAGCGTCATGATGTTTCTTTTCTTCGCCAGCCATAGTCACGATAAGTACCTAGGTAGGGAAAACGTGGGTTAAAATATATAATACCGGGCGTAAGACAACACGTCGCAGCGTTCGTAAGGTGTGCTACTATATATCGATACTGATAAGTGTAGGGGTAGACTGGTAAGATTCATTGGAAGTCATGAGCTGCGCATCTGCGATATCAATCAAATACAGGTACGCGAGAAAAACATAAACAGTACGAAGATGAAAATTGCCGTGACTGACCAGACAGCACCTGCACCCGCCCTAATACTTAACCTTTGACGATCGTTGTACGTTCGACCCTCGCTGATCCCACGATACGATAAGCCTCTCTTGTCTCTTATCTAGGGGGTTGGTAATAGATACTGACCAAGAAGGTGAAGAATTTACCTAATCAGCATAGCATTGTAGTTTCCAGCATTGCCATGCCGCTCTTTGTTTTCATTGGTACCTCATGGGTCGCTTATCATTGCATGCTGGGCCAGGCCGTGGGTTGCAGCGTGCTAATGGCAAGGGTGCGTCGACCTATGCCGACAGGGCTTATCCCGTTGTACGTAGTACCTATGTGATGATATGCACACACGGTGAGATATTTCTCAGCTGACAGGGTCTCGACAAGAGGAGATCCATTGATTCAAATGGCAACGTCCAAGCACAGCTTCAACCACCCAAGACTACAGCATGGGCTTCAACACTCGACTGCTGATGAGTGTGATGTAGCCTTTTGAATAGACTTGAATGGTAGTTGCACGCAACGTATCTATCTCGGGACAACTCATTAGATGCCATAGATGAGCATTTCGAAATTCCCCATGTGTGATGGTATCAAATATAACATAGGTACTACGTACTTCGTAGAGACGAAACGAGGCGAGTTAATGCATGGTGATATGCAGAACCCCACTCTCCATTGGACTGAGTACCGCCAACTACTTAAATATGCAAATGCTTCCTATTGGAGAAAATGAGGCATTATAACGTCCTGTTGTCACAGGAGTCACAGGAACTTAAAGTACGTTCACCGGGTCCTGTTGGCGCCTGGTGGCTTCACTTGAGATGCCTAGCTGAGAGTGTGGCTGTAATAGTGATGGAAAACGAGTGAGACCGACTATCATGAATTGGTGGACGGCACCGCAGCAAAACAGTACCAGAGCAGAAGTGTCTCAATACACGTAGTCTCTCCGATAATTCTTGCCGTCCAAATATGTTTTTGGTGCCGCGCCTGAGCTGTCGTTGCTTTAACCTGGACTGAGGGTGATCGCGTAGGTGAGGAAGACGTGATCAATCGACTTGCTGAGCCGAGTTACTCAGTGCACAGTCTACTAGCACATATGGAAATACTGTGCTAGCGCCCATATGGTTGCAGTTTCCAGCCCTAGGTCTGCCGAGGGGCACAGTGCCCCTCTTCTCCGAGGACCGGAGCGCGGCAGAACTCTTATGCGTGTGACGCAACTTACAAACAAATGTTTGAGCCAAGTTGATAAATAGGTAAAAAAGGCCAATTGAGGAGGCATAAAGCGACACATGCTTTATAGATACAATCATTACAAGAGATAACTCCCCCTCGCTATATTTCTGCGGTATCATTGCCGCCATGGGGCTTCCCGATCCCACCATTGACCTCGACTGGAGTGGCTACATCGGGGCTATTCATGAAATATTTCATAAGAATGCCTTGAAAACCCCTGATGCGCCTTGCGTCACAGAAACGGCCTCCTCTACCACACCAGAGAGGAGGTTTACGTACAAACAGGTCTACGAGGCTTCCAATGTCTTGGCCCACCAGCTCCGTGACGCTGGCATCACTAATGGCGATGTCGTAATGATTTTTGCCTACCGTTCCGTCGAACTCCTCATTGCATTCATGGGAACTCTCGCCGCCGGCGCTACCGTCACCGTCCTAGACCCCGCGTACCCCCCGGCACGCCAGCAGATTTATCTTGAAGTGTCTCAACCACGGGCCCTGATCGAGATCGGAAGAGCCAAGGATGAGAATGGCCCCCTTGCGCCGCGTGTCCAGAATTACATTCACGATGAACTATCTCTCAAGATACGGCTACCCGAATTGCGAATGAGCGATGATGGCCACCTCACTGGTGGTGAGGTTGATGGGAAGGAAATCTTCACTGACGCTGCGGGCAAAGCATCAACACCTCCAGATGTTCTAGTTGGACCTGACTCATCAAGTATCCTGAGCTTTACGAGTGGCACGACATCTACGCCTAAGTCCGAGATTCCAGCAAACTCCCAAGTCTAACGACCATGAGCTAACTTATTTTCAGGGGTGTGCTAGGCAGACATTACAGCTTAGCCAAATACTTCCCCTGGATGGCGGAGCAATTTCGATTTACATCAAAGACAAAGTTCGCTTGTTTAAGGTAGAAATCATCAAAGCTGATTTATCACACAGATTTGCTAACTCATAATAGCGGCATAAGCCATGACCCCATACAGAGAGACTTCTTTACTCCCCTTTTCCTCGGAGCCGAGTTGATGATTCCGGCTCGCGAGCATATTGCCCACGATAGATTAGCTAAGTGGTTCCATGACCACCAACCTAACGCAGTTCACCTGACGCCTGCCATGGGTCAGATCTTGGTCGGAGGGGCTACGGTAGAGTGTCCTTCTCTGCAGTGGGTGCTCTACGTCGGCGACATATTGACCAAGAAAGACTGCGCTGCACTCCGCAAGCTGGCGCCTAACGCAGAAATCTGCGCTGCCTACGGTACCACCGAGACGAGCCGCAGCGTCTCTTACTACCAAATTAAGAGCCGCACCGAAGACCCGGACGCATTGGATAGATTTGGCGATATCGTCCCTGCTGGAAAGGGCATACAGAATGTCCAGCTCTTCATCGTCAATCGGGAGGATCATACCAAGCTTTGCGGCGTTGGCGAAGTTGGCGAGATTATGATGAGAGCAGCGGGTTTAGCCGAGATAAGTGTTATTCTTCTTCCATTGGAAGATACCTACTAACATTTGACCTTACGGATATCTGAATGATCCAGAGAAGACCAAGGAAAAGTTCCTCGACAACTGGTTTGTCGACAATAAAGTCTGGGTTGAGGCTGATAACAAAGTTGCTGATCATGCCAACGAGCCGTGGAGGAAGTATTACAAGGGCCCGCGCGATCGGTTAGTTCCTTGAAGTCATTTATTTCTCTTTTATACAGGTTTCGCGCCTCGTTGCTTTTCTCTATCCGACGATTACTAACATCAGCGTGTGTAATAAGGATCTACCGAACTGGCGATCTTGGGTATTATCTTGATGATTCTGGTAACTGCGCCATTTCGGGCAGGGCTGACAGTCAGATCAAGATTCGTGGCTTCCGCATCGAGCTCAATGAAATTGATAGCAACTTAAGAGGGTACCATCTGGTCCGCGAATGCAAGACGCTGCTTCGTAGGGATCGGAACGAAGAGCCAACATTGGTCAGCTACATTGTCCCTGAACTTCAAGAGTGGACAAAGTGGCTGGCAGACCATGCCTTAGAAGACATCGAGGAAGAGGGCACCGAGATTGGACCCGTCATCGTGTATCCGAAGCGCTTCAGGCCGATGCAAATGGAGGTCCGGGATCATCTTCGATCTAGGCTGCCAGCTTATGGTGTCCCGACTTACTTCATCTACCTCAATAAGATGCCTTTGAACCCCAACGGCAAGATAGACAGTCCGAACTTGCCATTCCCAGACGCTGCATTGATCTCGGAGGAGGCATCAGAGGAGGATCTGAAGAGATGGGAAGCCTTCAGTAACACCGAGAAGGAAATGGCGGAGCAATGGGCGGTGCTCATCGTTGGCTTGAACGCCAGGACTCTTCGACCTGAGTCGGATTTCTTTGAGAGCGGTGGGCATAGTCTGCTGGCACAGCAGCTTCTTCTCAATATCAGGAAGAATCTTGGCGTCAACGTATCTATCAGCTCACTCTACTCTGATTCGTCTCTAAAGGCGCTCAGCACACAAGTTGACCGCCAGCGTGAAGGCAAGGATGATTCGGGCGTGACGGAGGATGGCGAGCCTGCATATGCCCAGGCCTTTGACAAACTGCTTGGCAGCCTCGATTCCAAGTACCAGACAGCGAACCCTGCGGCACTTTCACCGACGGGTAAGACTACCGTCTTCGTGACCGGCGCCACAGGGTTCCTGGGCTCTTACATAGTCAAAGATCTGCTGAAGCGCGAGGGCATCAGCGTAATCGCTCATGTCCGCGGGACTAAGAGCGTTCAGGCCGCCCTCGAGCGACTCCAGAGGTCACTTCGCGGATACGGTGTATGGGAGGATTCTTGGAGCACCAGGCTGAGTGCAGTTATTGGTGACCTGTCGCAGCCGCGCCTAGGACTTGACGACAAGACATGGAACGAAGTTGGCGACGCTGCTGACGTGGTTATCCATAACGGCGCCCTAGTTCACTGGGTGAAACAGTACAAGGACCTCGAGCGTAGCAACGTCTTATCAACGCTTGATGCCCTCCGCCTTTGTAACCAGGGCAAGCCTAAGCTTTTCTCATTCATCAGCTCGACGAGCGTTCTAGACACAGATCATTATATCAAGCTATCGCACGAGCAGACTAGCACGGGACAAGGACAGCTTATGGAAGCAGATGACATGATGGGTAGCCGCCTTGGTCTTGGCACTGGGTACGGCCAATCTAAATGGGTATGTTAGCTCCTAGACCTCCTTTTCTATGAAACAATAGTTCTGATAGACCACAGGTTTCGGAACAGCTCGTCCGCGAGGCTGGAAGACGCGGCCTTCTCGGGTCTATCGTACGCCCTGGCTACATCCTTGGAGACGCCGCCACTGGAGTATGCAACAACGACGACTTCCTCATCCGCATGCTCAAGGGCTGCATCCAGCTCTCCAGCCGCCCGCGCATCATCAACACAGTAAACGCCGTGCCCGTAGGCCACGTATCCACCACCGTCGTCGCGGCCAGCTTAAACCCCGTCCCGGCCGAGACTCCAAACAGTAGCGGCGGCGACATCGGTGTTCACGTCGTCCACATCACTGCTCACCCGCGCCTCCGCATGAGCGAATATCTCTCCATCCTAAGCTACTACGGCTACGACGTGCCTGAGGTGGACTACAACGACTGGAAGGCCCAGCTCGAGACCTTTGTCTCTGCCGGTTTCGTCCAGAAGGACGAGGAACAGAGCGCCCTGATGCCCCTCTTCCACATGGTGACTAACGACCTTCCGTCAACCACGCGTGCGCCGGAACTCGATGACCGCAATGCCGTTACTGTGCTTAAGGCCGATGCGGATCGGTGGACGGGTGTTGATGAGAGCGCCGGCGAGGGCATTAGCAGGGAGGCTGTTGGGCGCTTTTTGAGGTACCTGGCCGAGACCAAGTTCTTGGCTTGGCCGACTGGTCGCGGCAGAGAACTGCCTGCCATCAAGGTGGATGTTGTACAGGCACAGGCGCAATGGGGTGTTGGTGGGCGTGGTGGTGTGGCATGAGGATAAAGAAGGTGATATACGACAATGAGTGAATATGTTGTGCATAGAGGTATGGGGGGAAAAGGTGGAAAATGTTGTTAAAAGTTTATATCATATTTATATATTTACATACTTTCACGCTTATCCTGATCAATATATGCTCTTAGAACTCCTAAAATACATCATCCTGAAATCGTATTAGAAATGGCAATCTTAGTCTTTAGCAATGTAAAATTCGACTCTTTTTTCTATAACTTTTGTACATTTATAGTATATAGTATCTAGGTACTCTGTAGATGGTATCGACATCCTCAAGACTCGGTTGCTTCCGCCCGAGTAACATCAGAAACCTGTTCAGAATCTCCGATGTACGAAGGTGGATCTAAGGGAGCGTCGTTCTTCTCAGTCCAGACTTGAGCTAGTTCTTTCTCGATCTCTTCACGACGCTGCCTCCACTGGTCTACTTGTGAGAGTCGTTCGCGGAGCTCCTGCAGCTCTCGCTCAACCTGCATCTTTTCGCGCTCGGTTCCAATACGCTCGAATTCCCATTCATCACCATTATCACCTAGACCCAGAACGAGGTTGAAGGTGTGATACTTCTTGAGGGAGGCTCGAGTTGATATAGTGATCAGAGCTATAAGCCATTAGTTTCTCATACAAAACAATAGTTTTCAATATGTGACTTACTGATGCCCCTCTCCTTACAGGTTTCGTACAGGAGTCCCTCGACATCGCTGGATACTGCGCTCGTACCCTCATCAACGATGGCATATTGAGGCTCATGGTAGAGCAATCGTGCGATACCGACTCTCTGTTTCTCGCCACCGCTAAGCACATCTTTCCATTCTTTTCGTGTGTCCCATCCGCCCTCGCGATCAGGTAAGTATCCAAGCTTGGCCGCATCTAGGACCCGCTTCAGATCGTCTTCAGACTTGCGCTTGAGCCGCATATCAAGCTCGCCATCGGGGTAAATGACTTGATCGCGGAGCGTACCGATACTCAGATAAGGTCTCTGAGGTAAAAACATGATACCGTCCTGACCGATCGATTTTGGTCGACTGATTAATCCGCGATATACCGGCCATAAGCCCGCGAGAATTCTTGCAATAGCGCTTTTGCCGATTCCATTGGGGCCCGAAATCAGTAAGTGTTCCCCTCGGCGGACAATCAATGAAAGGGACTCAAGTAGTTCTTCGCCTCCCTGAGGCCAAAGACCAGGCGCAGCAATAGGCACGTGCTCTAGTCGAACGCCATCGAAACCCTTCTGAATTGTTCCTTGTACATCTGATAGTGAATAGAGCTCATTTCCACTAGCACGGGGGAAGTATGCATTCGCATGAACCCGATGAAGAGTTGATATGAGAGTATACACTCGGCTTGTGTATCCGGCCAACTCGGCGAGATCTTTGATAGAGTACATCATGCGGCCACCGGCATCGGCGAGCGAGAGCATGAGGCGTTTATTAGTGATGAATTCTCTCATACGATTGCGCTCACGGCCACCTCTCTCAGCACTTTCGATCATTTCCATAGCGCCTCCGAGTCCACCCCAGGCTGGCAGGAAAACAGGAAGAGAGGACAAAAGATAACCATACGCGCTCCAACTGTACTTGAGAATGAAATCCTCGAGGATATTATACCGAATCTTGAGCATGTATATGCTCTCCATCCAATTCTTCAGTGACTTGAACTCCTTGTTGAGGAAAGTTTTCTCCATTTCGGCGCCGCCGTAAAAGGCAACTTCCTCGGCGTTGGCTATTAAACGAGCGTGTAAGCCTCGGAAATCGCCTTCCTTGCGACCTTCCACCGCCTTCAGTTTTCCAAAGGGTGGAGACATCCTTCGGAGAATGCTTGCGGTAAGGAAGTAATTGCTCAGAAGACCAGTCAGAGCTAGAGGGCCTAGAGAGCGGTACAGCTGGTAGTTGAAGACGCAAAGATCAACAAATGGTTTACCAAGTGAGGAGTACAAGTTCGCGGCTGAAGCGCAGAAAAGAGTGAGATCTTGGGTAATGAATTGATCTGCACCTTGACCGACGCCGCCGTCCGAGTTCGATAGTTTGTAATAGTTCAGATTGTCATTGAGATATAAGTCATGGATATATCGCGTTAATCGTGTGCGGAAGGCAATTGACACCTTGGACTCGAGAAATTTGATCATCGAATTAGTGTAAGCAGCAAAGCCACCCAATCCACACCACTGTAAAGCAGGGTTAGTTGATATCTCGTCACCGAATTAAGAAACCAGTAGTAGCTCACCTTAGCTATTCCCCAAAGAAATAGTCGTCCATTGCCCGCAACCAAGTCACGAACGATCTCGCCATCGAGCCGGGCTACCACCAGCGAAAGGTATGTACGCAGCATTAAGAAAACGCCGTGACTAACCAGCAGCCCAGCCTCTTTACTCGTCCATCGGGGGATCATGATGCTCATCAAGCTCAGAAACTGGTGGAGGAAAGCGAGGTTCAGGCCAGGTTTCGTTTGCGCAGACGGGACGGTTCCATCGCCAAGCCCAGAAACCTTGGGCGGGTTCAGGAAAAGGCGACGATGCGCTTCAAAAGTCAAAGGCTTCGTCCTGTGGATGACTACTTTAGAAGTGCCATCCTTATAGGGAACGTATATCGTCCGTGACCCGTCTTTCCCTAATAGCCAGGAATTGGTACGCACAAGCTTACGGCCCTGCTCCTTTTCCTGTCGTCTTCGCTTCCACCATCTCCGACTCCCTTCAGCGCCAAGGACAATGGACAAAGCTAAGGCGAGGGTCGCGATAAGTTTCGTTCGGCGCGAAGTCCGTCGAAAGCGATCTTTTACGAGTTTCTTGTACTTGTCGATGAAAGCCACGAGGATGTCTTCGGACGCCGAATGGCGAAGGGTTGACTGTACCGCCATCTTCGGCTGACGCGTGACGTCAATCAGGAATAGACCAGTAAAAGAAGCGACGTGGCCATGGGTCGCATAGGGCCGGTCATAATCATTGAAGCATAGATCGGTACGACAAATGGGTGCAATTCAAGATCTTGAATCGAGTGTTTGACTACTGGGAGAGGAGATGGGAGGAATGGAAGGATAGTAGAGAGATGATCAACCACCCTCTGTACGAAGGTACAGTAGGACGAGATGTACATCATAACCGCAATCATCTTTCCATGTGATTGATCGCCTCGGTACAAATGCCCATTCCGTCAAAGGAGCTTCAGCCACAATTACCCCAGGCCGGACGTGGGGTACAGTTGAGCCACGCTACACCACGTGCACTTGTGGCTTGACCAATGAATCAGTGAATCGATGAATACCTAATAGGTAATTTGCATGTGCTTTCCCCCACACTTTACATACAGTATTCTACTGGTACCTAGTATCTCTTAGTTGGTATTTGCCAATGGGATGAACACATACATTACAGTATATACTAGTATAGTATAAATATACAGATGTGTGTGTGTGTGTGTACAGCTCATGTTCTAAGGCAAGAAGAAGTAAGGTAGTGGGCGGGCTACCTACTGACATGGCCACGTGTATCATTTGTGTCGAGGATACTTGCTCTTAGATAGTACTTTGCCTGAGGATGGCATACTTCTAGAAGAACGTGGTGCGGCCAGCCGTCATGCTTGTCATGCCCGTCATGCCACAACCTTCACCGACAGAATTGCCGTTGGGTACCTAATATAACCTTGACCGCAACAACGATCACGACTACCTATGTTCGTGGACTACCGGTGTATAGTATGGACCTAGGCTAGGTACAGCTAGGTAGTAGTGTATGCACCAATCTACATAGTACTATACACATGAGAAGATGATGGTAGAAGTCTGGGGTCTACTGGGACGAGCTCTGGGCGAGCATACAAGTACAGTACAGTCCAGTCCAGGCTCAAGGCTGGCCGAGTTGGTCTCATGCAGCACACACACATATAGTACTTTACTCTTGCTGTTAGGACTAGGATAACTTCTCATGCATCTAGGCATCCCACTCCACGTCCACTCCAAGGCTCCGTCTGGGCGGCGGAAGGACGGCATCTGAGTGGTTGCACCCGCAGACAGTCCCACAGCTCGCCGTCACCATCCTGCAATGTTAAGCGCCTACCTTGATTGCCTGGGCCAATGACCAGGGAGAACGGCAAGGTCTACATCTTACTCGCCAACTCCTTCACATTTTCGAGATGGATCTTGCACCGGGGACAGACTGGGGGCCAGGTACACAAACCTACTGTAAGCAGGCAATTCTTGTTCAATCCCTTTCAGCTCGAGATCAGGTATGCCGCACTACTGGTAGGTATATATGCAGGTAGTACTACAGTAAAGTACATGGGTAGATACAGAATAGGCACTGCATCGCACAATGCCAGTGGTGATAGCTGGTAGTTTCGCCGTTGAAAGATAATCTTAAAGCTCCGTATGTTACCATGTTACATAGTAGATGTCATATCACCATCTGGACCTTGCTTATAAGAACGATCGGTATTGACTGTGGGCAAGGGGCTAGGGGAGGCATCATCATGTATAGATTTCGATAATCTGTTGAAAAGGCCCTGCAATGAAGACACTACTTACACTACTTCGTAATTACTGTGCTAGTGCTAACCTGTTAGGAGGAGCCTCATCAGCCCAGATACCTAAATACCTACTATGTAGGTAGTCCTAACATGTTGAGACAATCTTAAAAAGTACATAAACGACGTTGATGTGATAGCACAGTACACCATCTCCGAATCACCTGAACCTGGTTATCTCCAGTGTTTGAGTGACATTGTTACCGGCTCTATACGTGTAGGTGTAAGCTGTTGAAACAGAGATATTATCAAGTGGTTGCTGGTGCGGATGAATAAACCGAAATACTAATTACCATGTCAGGTTAGGTGCCGGGCACGGTTGGTTGAGCAGAGCAGAGCAGAGGTTGAGATGACCGGGGCCTGTTAGCTGGCGACTGGAGATTAAAGACCTGCCAAGTAATAAAATGAAGAACGGAGATCTAAGTATATCTTGTTAGTACTGTTAAGGGAGATACACAGACAACGTTAACAGCTGCTATCAGCGCTCGGTACCTTTTTCCTGGCTTCTGGGGCTACATACTGTAGCAGTAGGAGCTAAGGAGCTAGCACTGGCGCTCATACTACCCCCAAAACAGCCTAGCATCCTGCCAGTCTAACCCTGCGAGGCACTGATTTATACCCCCTTCGGGCCCTTCTACCCCTAATACCCCCCAAGACCCCCCCCCAATCATACCCAGATCCCAGCGGACTTGCACTTCATTTAACAAAGTACCCAGGTAGTAGTAGATTAGGTAGGGGCGCTAACGGCCTGCACCCAGCGGCCATTTTCCCTGACCTCCTCGAGCCGCCTCCTTCCCCATCCCGTCCCCAGCCTTTTGCTGCAGGCAAAGACCTCCTTTCGCGTCTCCCGTCAACTATCGCTGTCTCCTCGGATCGCAGAGACACCGTCGCATCGACCAAGCTTCTCGCATTTCCGCCACGGCCGAGCCTTTGTACGTGGCCATCACGGCCCTCGACCCCATCCGTCATTGGGCAGTTGGGTAGCTCGCAGTTCAGGTATGTATGAGTGCATCTACTTATCTGCCTACCTTGGCTCGAACCTGGCCAAGTGAGCTTCGTTGTTGTCGCTCTTGTGTCGAGCTGCTCCAATAGGCTCTCATGGTTCATAGCTTAAGTTGTGATTCAACAATGTTTCAATGCTATCTGCGCATCGTTCTTCGCCGAGAGTTGGGGATCATAGCGCATTTCCTACTTCTTCTCAACACTAGTACCACGTCCGCAAGTCTCAGGCTACCTACTGTAGTCGCCTCTCGATGATTTTTTTTGTTAGCCAATATATCTTTAAGGTCTGGTAACTAATGTATAGTTTCTAGTCCGAGTGTTAACATCTTGCGCTCGTCAAGCTCCCATCTTTTGTTTTGCGGAGAATGTCTAGAGGTGTTCTCCAGAACAATCAGAAAGAGCAAAGTGTATCTAAGGATAAGGCTATGCTTCAGACCGAGGATAGTTCCAGCTCGATAAAAAGCCGTGATCACCTAAAACCCCCGTCGCGCCCATCATCTCAGAAATTGGAACCTTCGTCAACATCCGCTGGTCTCACAGGCCCTCCGGCGAGCGAATCCCGACATAGCAACAGTCGAAATTCTAGAGAATCAAGGCACAGCATGTTGGGCCGGCGTCGAAACGGTAGCGCCTCTACCAACCGGTCAGCGGCTGCTACTAATCCCACAAACACCCCTGCCTCCTCACAACCCAACTCCCCGGCTGGAGTTCCCCAAAGACGGAAGAAAGGCGGTCTTCTTGCCCTCCTCGGTTGCTGTGGCGTACCGGATAATGCCAACTCCCCTGAGGGCGGAGAAGAGCCTTTGGCTTCTCATAAGCTGGACAAAATTCCTCAGCGACCGTTGACATCTAGTAGGCGAACGGCAACTCCGTCAGAGCAAACAACTGGCAGTAAATCACAGATCTACGAGAAGGAGAAGGACCCTCAGGCTCAGAGCGGACAATCCACCCAGGAAACAAAACCTAATATCGCGTCACAATCAACCACAGCTGATCAGTCCGGGGTTAATGATCAGGAGACTGAATCCAAACAAACGACCCTCGTAGCTCTACCTGGTCCAAGCACTACCGTCAATCCTCAACTATCCGATAGCCACGACGTTGAGGTATCAAAGGAGGAAGAGGAGGATATTGTAGATTCCAAAGATGAGGATGGAGACTCAGAAATGCCCGATGCTGATTCACACCGGGTAAAACTCCCCGTGGCCGCTTCCGAGGACAGCTATCCTAAGACAGTTCCACCACCTCCGCCCCCGCCAATAGCGGATGAAGAACCAACTGTGGTCGAAGATGAGAAGCTCGCGGTGGCAGAGGAACCCCAACAAAAGTTTCTTTTACCTCCTATCGAGCCACGCTTCAAAGGGCGTAAATGTCTCGTTTTGGATCTTGATGAAACCTTGGTCCACAGCTCTTTTAAAGTAAGCTCCCTGCCCTCATAATTTGCATTCCAGACACTTATTATTTTCAGATACTAAATCAAGCTGATTTCACCATACCCGTTGAGATCGAAGGGAACTACCACAACGTTTACGTAATTAAACGACCTGGTGTGGACCAGTTCATGAAGCGTGTGGGTGAACTTTATGAAGTCGTCGTCTTCACGGCGTCTGTATCTAAGGTATGTGATATGACACACATTTATGACTACCATATCTAATAAGCCAATTTAGTATGGCGATCCATTGTTGGACCAGCTCGATATTCATAAAGTCGTCCACCACAGGTTATTCCGCGAAAGCTGCTACAACCACCAGGGAAATTACGTCAAAGACTTATCTCAAGTTGGACGTGATCTCAAAGATACAATCATCATCGATAACTCACCTACATCCTATATCTTTCATCCTCAGCATGCTGTGCCCATAAGCAGTTGGTTTTCGGATGCACACGACAACGAATTGTTAGATCTAATACCCGTTCTCGAGGACTTGGCTGGGCCTAATGTCCAGGATGTCAGCCTGGTCCTCGACGTCACTCTTTGAGCAATAGCTCCCGACTTTTTCTTTTATCTGCACAATTCCAAAACACTCACCCATTGCAGACATGTGTTATCATAGCGGAAGGCGTTCTCGGCTCTGATCACCCTGAAACTTGGTGTAGATGTACTGTTTAATACCACATAAAAGAGGCGGGCTCGTACCTACCAATCCTGGAGTTCAAATCTCTTCGCAAGAGATGGTGAACTGTGTATAGCCCATGATTCTGGCCGGCATACCCCCGGGTCGCTGAAAGAAAAGAAAGAGGCTACTTCTGGAAAGGCCATTATACTCGCGCAACATTGGTGGGGGCCGTAGGCATGGTGTAAGGATGGTGGTCATCTAAAACTGGGATTTTCGAGACGGGTGACACCAACAACGCATTGCTCATAGAGTCTGGTGATAAATATCGCCGAGGATTCCCATTATGATTGCGTAGCTTTACTGTTTCTTCTTGGGCACCTTTCCCCTATTCTTTTTATTTGTCTTTTTATTTTTATTTTATTCCCTTTCCACTCACCTTTTATTTTCTCTCCGGCTACGGCCGCAAGCCATTTTCATACCATGCGCGTAAACGCAGCAATCGGGACAGCAAGAGCGTTAGCAAGACTGCACAAAGCAGCTAAACACCTTGGAGAGGGTGAAAGCATACCCCGGCACGGATGACCAGCATCATATTTGAGCGATTTTGTCTCGTAGAGCGTGGTGTTACCTAGCTAGAGTATCGGAAAGCCTACCCAATCAAGCGCAAGCATGCCAGGCCAGGAAAGCGCGCTGTGAGGGTAGGGAAGGGAGATGTAAGCCTATAATAATATGACGGCTTTTCTCTGGCTCAGGCATCAACAGTGCACAAATTGATACTCAATTGATCAGGATATCCAACCATGATTAGTTAGTCCACGCTTCTGAACCCGACCTCTTGAAATGTCCCTTATGTTGTGAATATTCATCAGAATTGTAGTAAAGCTAGATTGCGGTAGATCTTAGAAGTCTACCTAGTATTGAAGTTTTTATTTCCGTGAATAGGCAATTTCAGGACACTCACTAGTTGATCATGTTAACGTGAATTTTCTGAGCCGAAATAGTGACAATAGTACAATTTACGGAGCTTTGAAGAGAATGCCTAGCTTAGGTATGTCGATACCACAGGCCAGAGAGGTTTCAAGCGTGCATCTCTCTCTCTGGCTCAAAGAAGCATTATGAAAACAGGGAGAATATGCAAATAAGCGATCCCAGATAGTGGAGCCGGGACAGGCAGAGGACGGGACCTGGGTGATCGTTACTCCGCTATCTATTGGTTAGCCGGTCATATGCCGGTCTCAGGCAAATCCTAACCTCCACGCCAGGCATTGGATCAGGTGGTCCTCTGGTGGATGGCTTTTCCAAGGCACTGTTCAAATCATCCTCAGCTCCTACGATCGGCCACGACCATCCTCGTCAACGCCTGCTACCACTCTCATCACGCCCTCAAATCCTCATCGCGATCTACTCGGCCTTTATCTTTACCTTTACGGTGGCCGTACTCTGAGGGATGATGCTTCCTTCAACGGTGCGGCGAATCGCCGCCGCCGCACCCCATCCTCCTCTTTTGGCATCTTTCGCGCCCACAGCGACGCGAGCGACAGCTGGTCTCACCCTCACCAGCAGCCCCACATGTAACCAGAGGCGGCGATATTCGTCGTCGAAGCCATCCAGTCCGAAAGACTCGCCAAAAGGGTATGGCGCCGGCCAAGTAACAGCAAGCGCAACGCAGTCGACGAAGCAAAGCGGCGAAAAGAAAAAACGGAAGGCTAAGGCGTCGAGCACACAACGAAAGCTTCCAAGCGTTCCCAGCACTCAGAATATACCACAAGAGGGTATGTAACTCCTATATCAAAACTGTAGATGCCTCAACTTTTTAAGATACTGATCATGCGCTACTTAGCTCTTGCCCTGGCCACCTTTTTCTCACTTCATCGACCCATCTCCGTCACACATGTCTTTCCTAAGGCCATAACAGACGACACCTTTGCGCGGATCTTCGCCCAACCCACGAAAGCTGCTACGTACAACAAAGTCATGTCCACACTGGCCCGATCTGTTGATCAGCTCGAACAGCCTATGCAAGCGCTGAATATCACGAATCAACATAGGACCGACGCCTCGACTACCCAGAACACAAATGGCGAGAACGTGCAGTCAGTTACCGTGCAGCATGCGGATGGTACCGAAACCAGCGTACAGGTGCAGCTAGACCACATGTCCGGAAACTTTCTACCCTTCAACCCACCTCCGATACCCCAGCCGCTCTCAAGCACCGATTTGGATCCTTCTGTTCAGTCTGCAAATGTGGAGTTGGCACAATCGGAAGAAGCATCAATACAGCAACAACCCCAGACTCGTATTTATAAGGCTATTGTCACGCTTGAGGAAACGATCGACGAGAATGGGAACTCCCGGATCCAGGCGCACAGCGCGCAGCTGATCAAGGATGATGCCGGTGAAACCAGGTCTGGTATCTCTAACCGAAACTCGTTTCTCGCCCGCATGGCATCGCGCGAAATCAGGCAACGCCGCCGCATGCTTGCTATTAGCGTCAAGCGTCAACGAAAGCTCAAGATGAAGAAGAAGAAGTATAAGAAGCTTATGAGACGGACACGAAACGAACGCCGAAAGCTAGACCGTGTCTAATGTACTACCCTGATTGTCAATGTGTACCCAGAGGAGCACCTAGCATGCGCGTACGGCGTTTCTGTACATAGCCAATGCTCTGAATCTGAAATATGAGACGAGCATGTTCCCGCCCGCTCCCTTGTCATCTACATAGTTTCGGGTCATTGTCTACGGTTGTAATACGGTGTACGGAAGATGGGCATTATAGCGGAGGAAGAGGGTTATTTCTCCTTTGTCTGTGGCATTGTGGCATTTTTCTGCCTTCGCGCTTTTCAAGGTAGTAGAGGTAGCTATCAGCTCATAGACGCTATTATATCGCTACCATACAAGGCGTTAAGTATAGTGGCGGATATCCAATCAATACAATCTCAACCTTGCATATTACCTAGAACTTTACACGTTTTACATTGTCCGTATGCACCATCGTACTTCCGGTGGGGACGAACTATTACGTGCTTGTTATATCTTTACTACGAGGGTACTTCGCTTGGTCGGCTAGGGACTTGACGGGAGTCTCGACCATAAGCTCGAGCAACGACCACACTACTTCGGCTGCTGCTAGCGACGTCGTCTCGCCGCGAGTGTCGTACACGGGTGCCACCTCGACCACGTCCGCGCCGACGACTTCAAGACCGGCTAGACCGTCGAGGATCGAGAGCAGCTCCCGCGTTGACCAGCCGCCGGGCTCAGGGGTTCCCGTTGCTGGCACACAACAAGTAGGTTAGTAAGCAGTCCTATCCCATGACCATGGTGCTATGAGTCCATTATGGGAAAAGGAAAAGAGGGGCGAGTACCAGGTGCAAATGCGGGATCCAATACGTCGATGTCAACGCTGATGTACACCGGCCCCGTCACGCGCTCGCGGATCCGCGTTATTATCCCCGCTGTGCCGATTCGATCGAGGTCTCGGGCTGTTATGCGTGCGAAGCCGCAATGCTCGTCGTTTTGTATGTCCTCTTTTGGCCGTGCTATCGGGGCGCGAATGCCGGCGTGGATGGAGGTTTTGCGGATTAAGCCCTGCGAGGAAGAAAGAGGTAAATAAATATTGCTTTTTTTTTTTTTAAATGAGATGCAGATTGTATAACATGGGAAAGAAGATAGTGGTATGTATACCTCTTCGTGGGCGATATGGAGGAATGTGCCGTGGTTGAGACCGCTATAAGGGGTTGGGTGGGTGAGCTTATGGTCTTGACGGTAATTCTGGATGTCTTACGCATAATCTGATAAACCACCGCCTGAGCAACAGTCAGTATCATGATAACGCACATCGAAATTTTAGGACGTACCGATTACTGACGGTTCCCAGGTATCTAGCTTTTCCGTCAGCGTACGACATGTTTCGATGGAAACGCCAGGCAAAGGACTGAATTTATGACTAACCTAAATGACTATCGAAATGTATGACAGACGCTTGTCCCCAGTGCTTGTGCACCGACCTCAGTGCCGGAAGTGTCGTCGTGTGGTCTCCGCCGAGCATGATTATTCTCGGTGTCGAGGAGATGCTCTGGTTGGCAGCTTTCCTCCCCGATACGACCTATGATAAAATCAGATGAGCATGAAATCCAGTTATCACTGCGAATACTCATAATGCTCTCGCGGCGCAAATGTTGTTGCGTACCTTGTGCCCCTTGGTTAGCTGGGCGAGCGCGTAATTATTGTCGAGAACCGTCAGAGGCACATCGCCGCAGTCAACGACGGTGGCCCAGGATTTGAGCGCATTCTTGCCTGTACGTCTTGTCTATCAGTTGGGGGCTATTTCATAGTTATAGTACTTAATCAGTTTGTTCATGACATGAGTGCTTGCGCGACCGAGTATTCAAGTGCATCGCTGAGATTTGAGACGCACCCGTATAAACACTCCATGCGAAATCGGCGTACTTCCTCTGGCTGCTTGTGCGTATTCCACGAGGACCGTAGCGAGCTCCCGGCCTGGCTGTAACGGCCTATATAAGTTCTTAGAATTCCCTTTTTACATCATGGTCTTTTCTATGGGACATAGGGTTGCATATACATGGCAAAGTAGTTAGATACTAACCGTATCGAAGGGCGCACCGAGAATGGCAATGTCGTACTTGGCACCATTTGCCACCTCCTCATTGGATAAACAGTTGACATATGGGACTCTGGCATACGTATTCAAGCCGTTGAACTGGCTCCCGTACAATATGTCTACGTCGTCATTGTCATCGCTCACTCGGCCGAGAGGCTGCTGTGCTGCCGCCGCCGCCGCCGCCTGCGGGAACTGCCACTCTCGGGCTCGGGAGACGCCGAGAAGGACGGCCCCGAACAACGCGAACCCTTTTGGCTGCATCTCGTATCACGCGGATCCAGTTCGGATAGACCGAGGTAGTTCTCGGTTGCGGGGAAAAGAGTACGAAGTTGTTTCTCCGTATATAGGTCCCTAGTAGGTAAATAGAGAAAGTGGTGAGGGGTTCAAATCGTGGGGTTCGAGACAACGGCTGGTCAGTCTACATGGGCCCTATGACAACATACTTACACCCTTTGTTGAAAAATACCATCACCATTTGATACCATACTACCATTCGTCTTTAATCATCTACAAACTATAGTATTCACACCTAGATGATAAAGCATCACGTACATCGAGCTACGTGTTTCACGTCAGATGAATAGGAAAGTCACGCAAGGGACGGGGTTTCCCCCAATCACCATTGTCTGGAATTGCAACCGCAACCCTCGCCGGATGTTGTTACCAACATAGCGGCCGTCTCGATTTTGAAAAGGTAAGCTTGATCTGTACCGTAGATGCGTATATTGTTTACTTTTGGGCTCACAACACCAAATTCAAGCTGTGCTTATATCTGGCCTTTATTCTTTGTTTTTACTACTTACACCTTAGGAATATCGGGATCTTTTTACTCTATTCAGATTCATTCAAGTATCTGAGTTAGGTCATTGGACTAACTTCAGTGATTGATAGCATTACGTGAGATTTCTTCAAATACGGCAGGGACTCCAGCACCACCATGGAATGTCCAACGATTATCTGGCCGCGCGTTAATGGCAGGGAGCCTATCACCAGCGATCCTCCATCGGATACAGTGAGTCTTCCGGACGACAATGGTATGCCATCTGTAGATGAGGTTGGACGTACTCTGGTCTCAACCCTCGCATAGTGGCAGGCAGAGTACATATACTGGTAAGTGATAGTGATCATTAATTTTCCACTTTCATCTGATTTCTATCTTTATATGCAAACTACATGCTCTACCAAGTATTCAGACACCAAGAGCCAGTAATTACGGAGATCAGGTTCTAACGAGAGGTTTCTTTCATAGTCTCGCGTGCCTCACTGCTGCTGTAATACTTGTTGGCCTGTTAGCCATGTACAACGGCAATGTTGAACCAACTTGGAGCAAAAACATCCAATTCAGCACAATACTGATATCTATCATGTCTGTATATCGTCTCGCGCTCAAGGGCATTCTGGAAAGTTGTTTTGGCCAAGGGGCATGGATCTGGGTGTCGACATTCCGCAAGGGGAAAACAGAAGCAAAACTTGAGGACTTCAAGATGTTTGACGAAGCCTCACGCGGTTTGTCCGGAGCACTTCTTCTTCTTTGGCGCATGAAAGCACGGTTTGTGATGTCCTTGGCTCCCCCTTTGCCTTCCCACTAATTGAAATAGTCATTTCGCATGTATCGGTGCCCTGATTGCAATTCTCACCCAAGGCTTTGAAACCTTTTCTTCTCAAATGGTTACATATACCGATTTGCCCGTTACACACGGTGATCCGACACCGCCGCCCGTAAGGTCTGAGTCTGTAAGTTATTTCGAGCCTTCCATGCTCTACTTAGGAACACCTGTAAGGCTGGTTCATGATGGCGATTACTAACTCAACCTGTGGCAAGTGGTCCAATATCGTTTCTGCACGCGGTGGGGGTAAGCTCCTCTGCTGCGCCTTGCAAGACTTTGAGTTTGGATCGGCTCACCCTTTTTAGGAACAACCTTGATGTTATCAACAAAAGCAGCCATACATGATGGGATCATGGGTTCTGGTGCTGTGGCAGAGATACCCTTAGCCTGCAAGACTGCGAGCTGTATTTGGCCGATTTTCCCTTCACTAGCAGTCTGCGGTGGCTGTACCGAGTCATTTTTCACCACATCGTGCGACCCGCAGAAAGGATGCAGCCACTCAATGCCCTCGGGTACTTCTGTCCATTCGCAAGTAAATGATCCGTTTAATTATCATTTCAGAGTTGCACCATCGAACGGATCCGCGACATTCCCTGACAATAGCTCTGAAGCCGTTATCTCCATGTTTGATATCATATCGGCAGAAACTTCTCCCCAGAACAATGTGGTTCAAGCCTACCAATGTGGGCTTTGGTTTTGCCTTAAGAGCTACAATGTGACGGTTACAAATGGAGTCCAAACACGATTCGTAACTAGAGAATGGTCAAGGTCAGAACTCAACGCTCAGACCGACGAACATTTTTTTGTTGATATTCCGCCGGAAATGAACGCCCAGCAGTACGCGCGCTATTCAGTACCCTTGGGCGCTCTCTCGGCACTGAGAGCTTTCATAGATAAGTTAACTCTAGGAAATGCCCGAACTTCACAAGCCACAGACGTGGTGGTTCATGACACTGACTGGATTCAAGCCATTGAGGCCGCTACCAAAGTCGACCTCTCCGTTTGGATATCGAGGTTTGCCCATAGCTTGACCCAACATATTCAGCTCACAGGTACCGTACAACCCAACAAGAACTCCGACTACAACGGGATGGCGTACATCATGGCTCCACACGTTGTAGTAAACTGGTATTGGGTAGTTTATCCCATCTCTCTAATGTTTCTCGCCTTCGTCTACTTCGTGAAAACCATCTATTTGACGGCGCGCGACCAGGTCTGTGCCTGGAAAACGGATTCACTTCCTGTGAGTAATTTAATCTACTGTTCCCTCCACCCTCCACCCGCCGTTTTAACCCCTGTTTTTCTCTCCTGCACACTACGCTTAAAACGCTTTAGAACCTTCATCATAGTGCCCTAATGAATAAGCACTGTATCTACATGAAATAACTTGAGCGGTCTAGATGCTCTTCTGTCATGTTTCGAGCGATATCCACGAGCAAGTTCAAGATGGAATGGATATGCCTGGGGGGCTCAAACGTCGCGTCGGGAGCACAGAGGTTGAATTGATGCGACAACATAATGGGGAATGGGTTTTTACCAGGCCGAGGCATCACTGAGGAGGCCGTTATCGCCGCGGAGTTCACGGAGTTCACGGCTTGCCCAATGCAGGCAGATGGCAGAGTTAGAAGAACGCCAAGTGTTTGTTTCCGGGCCCGTCTTCGGGCTCGTTTGTTGCTCCTGTCAACTCAAACCTTTCTCAAGAGTCGGTGTCTAATAACGCTATTAGGAATTAAACCCGAATCACTACTTAGCCTACTCAATATATTATCATGCGTACAGATAGTAGAGTTGTGCTCGCCCTCCTTTGCTATTCATTGCGAATATGCGTAAGGCGCTGTCGTGCAACTTGCAAGTGCTTTAGGCTATAAGTACCGAGCCTGACAACCGACCAGCCGGGAGCTTACATAGCAACAGCAAATCGCCGCTTGTCCGTCTAACGCAATGAACGTATGGAGACAGGGTTTGGCCATTGTCCAATCGGCACAACCTACTCCAAAGATGGGGGACATCCGATGAGATCATTCAAGCACGACTAACCCAACTCGATGCTTTTCCCTCGTTCAGTTTTGTAGTTCTCCTTCTCAAGTAACTATTCACCTCTATTCACCTCTATGTAATGTCTCTGAGTTGCCTTCAGATTCTCAAAAATTCATCGAGCCAGAAATGTAACGTAGCCATCCATATTGGGTTGAACCTACGACTCTTGAAATTGGGTGTCTCGCCGCGTACACCTCCCTAAGTCCGACCAACCTATTGTGGCATAGATTTTCGCTCCACGAAATAGACGCTAGACATACTTCTACGATCTCGCATTAGACATGGATGGATCATCGCGGTTACTTATACCCGTGCTGTGCCCCTTAAAGCGCAATACAAGATGCAAGCCAAGACTCCTCTCATATGTATTTAGTAAGTCTCAAGTCCGGCACTACCGGTGAGGCCTGTCAGACCTCAAAAGGCCATGCGCCATCCTAGGACGATCTCATAGTAATTCAAAACTACTTGGTAACTACCGTTGAGGTTTTTCTCCTCTTCTCATCTTCTAGAGCAAGTATAACTATTTCATGCCTGGCATTTGGGCCTTGAGATCACTCAATAGGCCGAGAATCGGTGCTGGACGATAGGCTGTCTCACCTGCAAAATCCAATTGTTGGCTGGTGCTGTAACATATGTGTAGGTGGGACATTACTGTTAGTCTAGACTCCATACAAACCCCGTCAAACCCCGTCATACCCCAGAGTCCAAGTGCGACTAAGGCCGTTGTGGGAGATACCCCACACGTCATGCGCGCTTCTCCAATATTCACCTTCAACTATTTTCTCAAACTCCAAACTTCTTTCTTTCTGGAACGTTGAAAGTTTGCAGGGTTACGATCGTGTTTTGTTTCCTGATGTTTTGCTATAATAATGGCTTCAGTGGCACCTGTGGAACCTGCGGCACGTGCCACTCGACATCCTCATAAGACACGAAAGAGAGCGTCTAAGGCGTGTCTTTCTTGTCGTGCTCGCAAAGTGCGCTGTGACGTCTCCCAGAGGGGGAGGCCGTGTATGAATTGCTATCTTGACGATGAAGCCTGTATTGTCACAAGTAGGGCCTCAAGGTTGTAAGTTGAGCCCTCCCTTGTACATGACATTCGTTAGCGATTGACAATTCCACATTAGCCGAAAAGGGGAGCGCCAAGGCAGTGTGCTCGATTTTCGCCATCAGGACCATGTCGATGATTGTACAAACGAAAGACGGATTGATGGTGTTGCCAATTCAGGGGTTAATGTCGAGCCTGCTTCCCCACAGGAGGAGCTTGCAAATGATATACACATTACCGAGAACGGACCTACATTGCGCGTACCCGGCTTTGGAGTAAACACAGGGGAAGATATGCAACAAGACCAGCAACCATCCATAGAGCTCAACGGGCATCAACCTTCGTTTAACCGTCCGCTCAACCCAGCGCCGCCGTTCCACAGTAAGTAGACGTCAACCGTCCCACGATCTGCTCCTAGCTGACTTCCCAGGCGCTCCATCAATGCCAATGCCGAGTTTTGATTCGATAGACAACTCCGAGATCCCTTTTATGGTCGGCCAACAGCAAGTCATTATCAGCGCGGACATCACATATTCATACTACCCGTTCATATCTATTAGCAATCTTCACAATGTGATGCCACAAGACGTGAACTACCTTGACTCCCAAGGATGTCTTAGAATACCTACAAGAGCGATTTTGGACGAATTCATGCAGCAATATTTCTTGCATGTTCATCCGCTGATGCCGTTTCTCAATGAAGGTGACTTTTGGAATCTCTATTGCCACCAAGGCAGCGGAGGGTCGAGTGAGAAGATGTCACTGCTTGTCTTCCAAGCGATGATGTTCTCCTGCTGTAATGTAGGTCGATGTTTTCCATCTCATTCGAAATAACTGACTAATTTTGTAGTTTGTGTCGAAAACTAGCATTAAAGCTCTTGGTTTCCCGGACATACGCACTGCAAGAGCGACTTTATATCGCCGTACAAAGGTATTATAAACTTGTACATATTCTATGCAAAAAAAGGTTTCTTGGATCTGACAAAAGTAGCTCTTATTCGATTTCGATACCGAATCATCCCTTGTCTGCGTCGCCCAAGCTGCCCTTCTGCTTACGTACTGGGCCCCGAACTGGTCGCTCGCGCCAAAGAAACCTAACACAGCTTGGCTTGGTGTTGCGATACAGAATGCGAAAAGTGCAGAAGCGCACATATACTCGGCCATGCCCACGTTTTCTCCTGTGACAGAACCGAAAGAATACAAGAAGCAGAATTCACTAAAGCGTCTATGGTGGTGCTGCCTTATCCGTGACCGTTTGCTTGCCCTAGGAATGCGTCGGAGCATTCAGGTGTCCCCGGCCCATTTTGACGTTACTGCGAACAGCCGGTTTTCATGCTCAGATCTTGCGGATGAAGTCGGGGCATCGAAAGTGTATAACCCAGAAACAAAGCAACACCTGATCGAAATATTTGTCAAACTTGGCGAGCTTTCCTCCGTACTAACTGATTTACTAACTCTCGTCTTTCCTCTCGATGATGTCCCGGGTTGGGGCAGACATAATGGGGCTGAAGGCGCCGAAAGAGTAAAAGAATCCAAAGCAGCACTAAGGAGATGGTACAAGGCAGCGTCTCTTCGCTTTCCAATGCCTGGCGGCTCCCAGAGCAAAATGGCAGGGAATCAAAATCTTCAACACGATTCAGTCATTTTATATACGAATCTGATGTACATGTTCTACCAGTAGGTACTCGTCCTTCTTAAGATGGTCTTCTACGTCCGGTTACTTACTTTTATATTCCAGTTCTGCACGAGCAGCACTATGTCACCATGAAGTTTTGCAGGCAACTATGGCTTCCGCCTCACCGAATCCAAACAACAACGGCCGCGAATTCTCTAATGTTCATGAAAGCCGACATGAGCTACAAGATGCCGCCTGTGGTGTGACAGAATGTTTGAATGATTTAATCCAACGCCGCCTCGCCCGATGGCTGCCTATTCCAGCGTAAGTGATTGTTGGAGAACAACAAGTGCCAAAGATATACTGACTATCTATATAGAATAGCATGCACAGCAATGCCATTGGTGCTTCATATTATAGATGTGAAGCTCTTATCCCAGAACAAACAGAGCAGAGCGACGCCAGATGAGAAGAGACGAACGGCGATTAAACAGCAAAGATTAAATGTCCTCATTGAGGCCATGAAAACTTATCAGCCACAATACGATGGTGTAGACTACATTAGCGAGACAATCCGGCATATTGTGAACCTGGCACAAATAGATCCTCCTAGCAGCCAGGCAAATGGTCCGTCATCATTCGCGACGCCACCGGAGAATCCTGCGACTAGCATGCAGCCCATGATATCTAGTTGGACGGATATGTTGGCATCCAACCCCGGTTCCTACCTACGTCTTTCCATGACCATGGACATTAGTATGAGCAAGGGTAGGTTAGCCAAGGAGACTGACTTCCCAGCCAAGCTCCGTGGTCTCTTCGCCCAGGGATTTAGTTCTATTCGAGCACTTCTTGCGGAGAGTCACGCGAGAACGTCGCCAGCACAACACACTTTCACAAGTACAGCGGCAGCACCAGCCGTGTTCTTACCGAATCCCGCAGCGCATATACAGCCAGGGAGTGTGCATTCGGTGTCATCGGACGAGGATCCCGCATCACCAGATTCGCCTGACAATGCAGCTGGGACCTTAGAGAGCACCAATAACGATAGTGGCATAACGAGCCATAATGCTCAAATACCAGATGCCCCCTTCTTCTCTGCCCTAGATACAGATGTGGCCATGCACATCCACACAGATATGTTCGTCGAGAGCGGCGGATCCACGAATCTCGACATGGATTACTCCTTAACGACCGACGCGCTAGCTCCCGCATTCACGCCGCGGGCAGACAACAATGGAAGCAATGCAACATCGAATCACAAGAACAACGGGGACAACAACACCGCTGATAACGAGATGTATGATGCCGAGGACGAGGCACGGGAAGCCGATTGGATCGAGCGCGCGTGGGACGAGGAAACGGGCGATAAAGAGACTGCGCGCGTCTTGCTCGATGCACTGCAAAATGATGCAGTCCTTTGCGCCTAACGGGGTAAGTTGGGAATTATATTAATGGAACGAAGTCACGATGAATATGAATTCTTCGGAGTTGGACATTGACGGTTATGAATACCATTATGATTGTGAGGTAATGTAGGTATATAGGATGGCGTCTTTCCAGATGGCTACTGTAGCTGCGTTTGTGATTTTCCTGAATGATTAACTGTTGGAAAGATATAGGAATTACCGGGTAGTGGTTATAGCGCTTTACATCAACCTCCTGAAGGTTCTACTTCTTCATTACGTCGAGCACGCTGGTGTTGGTATTGGCCTGATCTCAGCCTGGTCACGAAAGTCAGCTTGATAGTGGTTGACGTATCGCTTCCATATTGCTTACTCTCCCCATGCTAGTTAAAGTGGGTTAGGGGACACAAGCTGGTTTTACTTTGTCGTGGTGTATTCAAAAGAAACGTGTCTACTCTAGGGATCGACATAATTCGTTGTTATGACACGCCGTCCCCATGAAGCCCTATACAGAAATGCTGTCCTATCTAATCCGCTCCTCGGGTGAGAAGAAAGTATTGTACCCAATTCTCCGAAAGAAAGAAAGAATTCTACCTTATCTACCCCACGATTTCATTGTGTGGTGGTGTTGCGCCGTTCCGTTAATCTATGTATCTGTAAAAGTCCTAAATCATGCATACTCAGTATGTCTCGAAGCCGACGCAGCACTGCTATTCCGAGGTATCCTGACAAACAGAAGCAAAGAGCCTGAAACCGCGATCAGGGCCGCCAGTCCGAGGTAAGGGAGGCCAATCCACACCCCGTGCCATCTCAGTCCCAAAGAGAAGAGCCCGGCAAGCATAGGTTGAGAGAAAATACTGCCGAGGACCTCAACCATGTTGACGAGGCAGAAGAGCCGGGATCGGTGCTCAGGATCTACGTATATACTCATCAGACTCTTCGAGAGACTGGCAAAGCCGGATCCAATGGCCATCAAGAGAAGGCCGAAGATGAAGCCGCCCAGTGTTGGCGACACACCAAGCGTGAGGGCACCCAAGAAGGAGACCGCGTAAGACCAACGCGCCAAAGATAGGTCGCGATAGTGTTCGTTCTTAGCCCTGTACCTAGCCGGTGTAGCGGGATGAATAAGCACTTTTGAGATCCAAGGTAAAATAATCAAGGTCATGACGATGCTAGCAACACCATAGGTGCTCTGCACATATCCAGTCTGCGCAATCTTGATCTCGTAGCGTTTCGAAACAAACTGGTTCAAGAACTGCAGCGTCGAGTCCATGACCGGCATCGAGCACAGGGCAGTCAAGAAGAGGAGGATAAGGGACGGCGACTTGAGAATACTTAATGAATCTACGAACTGGCCAAAGACGCGCGATATCGTCGATTCAGAGCTAAGGACGTCGGGCCTCTCAAATCTTTGTGAAACGTCCTTGGACGGCCGAGTCTCGGGGAGAACGAAGAGCGCAAGCCCGCCGAGGGAGAAAAAGCCTATGCCAACGGGGGGAGAAACCCAGAGGCCGGCTTTTTCCATCACTAGTCCCGCGAAGGACGGCGACAACAGACTTCCGCAGAGACTTGCGACGTGTGTGCGTAGAAATGCAATGGCCCTGTTGAATCGTGGTCTTTAGCTAATGGACTAGAATTCAAATCGAGTTGGCGAAGAGAAGAAATGAATGTGAACGAACCTATCCTCCTCGCTTGTCGCGTCTGCGACCATGCTTAATACCACGGCTATTAGCACGCCATTACCGCCGCCGAGGAGCACGCCGGCGGACGAAGCCCAAATCGCGGTGATTGGGAACACATCACTCCAATACACTACTGCCAATTCCATCAAGCACCCGACTAGCAATCCCATTATGGCGACCGCAACGACAGGTTTTCTGCCAAGTCTGATCGGAAGTCAGCATGAAGGTGGCCAGTCAATTACTCTCTCGAGATCGGGCGAGCCAAGCACGAACTTATCAGCCGCCAGTCCCCAAGGGAAAGCGGCGGCAAACGCGACGATGGACCACAAAGTGGACTGCACGGCCAGGAGGTACACGAGCTCCTTTTGGATCGAGTCCTCCTTGCAAAGACTTTCGTCGATGGGCTTGGCCAAGCTCTGCACATCGTAGTACTTGTGGCAGAGGATGTCCTCGACCAGGCGCGTGAAGGGCAGCTCGATGAAGCCGCCTGAGAACGAGACGGTGAATGTGATGAAGTAGAGAACGGTAGTGGTATTTCTGGCCGTGGTGATGTTGCGAGGTGAAGATATGCCGAAGCTAGATATGGAAGACGCTATTGAGGATATGGAGAGGCTGTCTCCGTGGCGTCGGTGTTGCGGAGAGTCTGGTAGTAAGGACGCAAGTTCTGAAGCCTCGTCCAGCGAGTCACTGCGCCGTTGCTCTTCTTCCTGCGGCATATTGCATTCGAGGCTAGTGATGGGCACATAGGATGGTTATGTTATCCGGGTGTGTAGGCTGTATGTACTCTTTGAAGCGTCGTCTCTGGATTTCTCGGTAGCATCCCGTACAAAAGCTGGCATACTACAATAACATTCAAGATTCTAATGGAAACCTGGCGGTATTTGGGCACGACGGGAGAACCAGAGTCAAGGGAATACCCAGACACAGAAGAGGTGGTTTACCGCTGGTGTCTGTGCCTGTGCTTGTGCTTGGCAGTAAGTATCTAACGGTAAGACAGGATATTAAGCCATACATAGATAAGTCCGGGACGCCACCATGTAGGAGTAGTCTGGGATTTCCCATCTTGGTTAAGAGAGTGCTCTTGGGGTGTCAGTCGCCAATCTGTTTCGCTTCACCCTACCCACCCGGACGTCCAGGACAGATCCAGGATATCTAGATGTCGACGTCAGCAGATCACTGATAGGTAGGTAATGTAGGTAGGTCCTGGGTCATTGACGATATCTGATACCGTCGGTCACACAACCCCGGCGCCCGCTGCCAGGCTTGACTAGAAACGCGCAGGTCGTGTCACGTACAAACGGGCCATCCCGTTGACCAATCGCTTTCTCTCCAGTCCGACGATGGATGGTCACGAACTAACTAATGTAGCTTATACCAATGCTACAAGGCTTAACTACTGCTTCCTTTCAGTCACTAAGGTTAGAGGCTTGATGCCGCAACGGCTCACACGTGCAGTCAAAGATGGTGCGTCTCCTTCCCATACAGACACCTAGGTAGCTCGGTAGGCACCTCGAGACACTAATGTAGGTATCCCGCATGGAAGACAGCGCTGATAACGGGCTGCAACTGGCCTGATCCGCACCACAAGACCCGAGATGGCTGGCTGAAGGGCTGCATGCGCGTGATTCTCGGATGCAGGCGGCACTGTCACACCGCATTTCTCAAATGTCTAGCTACATACCGGTAGTATCTAGGATTCCCGTTGGCGAGTGACAGAAAGACCAAGGTTTCGAATTCTCTTGAACGACGGCCCTATGCCCTTCTCTTGCATGCGCTAAATAAGTGCCTGCGGGCCACAACGGCTTGAGGTCCTTCCCGTGGTTTGGAGGATCATCTGGCTGCTTGTATGTCTGTCTGGGTTATAGCTACTCGTTGCTTTGAGAACGCGGAATGAATCCATAGACCAAATAAGTGCGTGACTGAGCTCATATGGACATTATCATGTTATAGTTCGCATCTGTTTCCCCTGTTCCCCAATTTGTCTTTCAACGGACAACCTCGGGGTTGGAAAGTGTATTGGAGGTACTCAGTACTCCACTAGCCTCAGCTAAGTAGGTCTATAACATGGTCGGTTTCTAAGTAAGAATGGATAAACGGGTCGGGCCGAGCGTGCTTGAGTCAGGTTGACTTGACAGTACTTATTCGATACATTCGATATGCGGGTATGAAAGCGATAGCCTAGTACATCATACTAGGTGGTAGGTCTATCGCGAGGATCAGAACCTCGCCATCGTCAAGTCAACCACGGAGTCGCACGCGCGAGTTCGGGATAGAAACATTTGCGGTGTGCGGTGTAGATTAAATAACACCCAAATCAGACTGACCGCAGTGGTTTCAGCTCACGACGAACCTGGTCCAGCAGAAACCCCTAGTCCTAAATTGGCATGAAGTTAGAACCATCGTATCAAGAATGGCTTATCCAGCCTGAGTCTGGACCTATCTATACGTAACTTGCACGTCTACTAAAATGAAATCAGATTGACCGCTCTAGCCTTTGGCTTTGGAAATTGGAATAGGTTATGGTCTGGGGGTGATTCGGCGTTTAATGTTCGTACGAGTGCCGAGATCCCTGTTCTGATCCAACACTGCTTATCAAATCACCAAACGAAGTCACGACTTTTAGCGGACGATGAGTAATCCCGCAGACAGACAAAGTGCCATCATATCATAGGTACCCAAGCGCAACTCACCCCGGTCGAGCGAGGGGCAATGGCGGGGTGCATTCCATGTGGTGGTAAGGCAAGGGAGCCAAGGCGTTGGAACAGACTGTATGTACAAGTATGTCATGTAGATGGATGGGCCAGAACTCGGACTCGGATATTCGCAGCAGAAGCAAGCTGGCGGCACAGCACTGCTACACGAGATGCGCCCCAGCACAAGAACTCTCACGTGTATATGTAATCAAACGTCATGGGTATTTATAGTCCACCGGTTCTGGTGTGCCGTATACCTAGTAAGGTTGTGCGCCAACTCGGAAATGGAATGAAAATTTGAGAACGTCGAACTCGATGGGCGGAATTATCCACAAGCTTGTATAAGAGCTGGTATATAGGTATATATTTAAACTCGGGTCGTTTCGGCCGACGGCATGTTCCTTCCGCTCTGAATACCTCGTTTGACCCGCCGAGTTCGTGGGGAGTTCCGTAAATAAAACAGATCCCCCAGCAAGCCAAGTTAGGTAGATGCTAGGACGGATAGATCCACTTGGTTTGACGGAGATAAGGGAAAAGACTGCGAGCCTCCTACTATATGTAGGAATTGGTTCCTTCGCCTGCGATGGACAGGCAGCAGGATCCGAAATTAGAAAGTGAAGAGGGAATCAATCAAGTTGCCTCAGAGGAACGCTCATTCAGTTCGGAACATCTTCTGCTTGGACATGGCAGGTTGAGTCACAGTACGACTTTGGGGACGCAACCTGATCTTACAGAAATCTGCTTGTCTAATAAATAATTGAGCTGTGTAGCTCATTCTATAAGCACCGAATCTATAGAGAAGTGAAAGTAGTGATGGTACATGATGATGACAAAGGAAATGAAGCGAATGTGTCCAGTGTCCAAAGTCCACGTACGCTCCGTGAATAAACCAACTAACATGTTACAATAGCCATTCCAACTCCGTCTTGTGTATATTCGTGTCCCATGATCCCGACCCTATCGCCAATGCGTGAATTCCAAGCTTCTTTTTGTGTGATGAGAGTGAAAATGCCCTTTCCCCTCGTTCCTAAAAGTCCAATCTATTCGCTTGGTGAAAAGTCGAAAAAGCCATGTTGATACATCCAAAACGCCGATTCCCATGCTCATTTTTTACCCGTTATATTCATGACATTCTCGTCGCTCAGTTATATCCGCTCCGGCTCCTGCCGCGGGTTGGCTGGGTCTCTGATGGAGCATCAGTTCCTGAAGAGCCGGTGTCGTTGGAAGTGGTGTCGTTCGAGTCGGGCATTTTGACTGATGAAGCTTAAATCCTAGCAGCGATAGACTTGACTCCCTAAGTTTCGCGGTTGTTGGTGATGCTAGATCTGAAGAAGAGTCGGTCTTGATTCTCCCAGTTTTGATGCAAAGATCGCGATGTGGGCAAGTGGATTGAGATCAGGTTCGTGTGTCTGTGGTATTTCTATGGGGTCTGAACGTAAAGGGGTGCTTTTTGGGTTTCTGAGAACTTCGTTAGCAACAGCTGTGTAGAGAGATCTAGGTAGCCCCAGATAGATGAAACCATAGAGGCGATGCAAGAGGGAATATAGCACATACTTAATGATGGACAAGAGCGAAACAACTAACTCTTGGAAGTGTAGCTTCAACAACTGATTTCAGCGTCTTCTGATGTGAAGTCGAGTTGTGATATTCTATCTGGGTGACGTTCCTAGGGTGAATTGAGTAGTGGTGATGACAGGAAAATTCAAAACTTCGGGTGCGAAGTGCTGATACTATATAGTCAGAGGAGACTGTGCCACACTCGAGGTGCCGAGGGGAGTAAGGGCTAACACTCGCAATGACTCCTTTACATGAAATGCTCCTTCAGCCCTATAGTGTAATGGAACGGAACAGATTCCATGTTTTGTGAGGCCCACACAATGGCTCGCGGGACACAGTTTTGGTAGCGGCAGGTTCCTTCATCAGTGTCAACCTATTCCCAACGTCTTGGGTGAGGTGAGTGTGCCTTGCCGTGTTCCTCCAACGTCAGAATAAGTATGCACGGCATGATCCACAGCCACGTAAATAGACCAGACCACACTGGATATTGACTTTGGCGTGCTATAACAACTGTCATCACGTGGGCTTGAGACGATGGACCTAGCCTAGTGGCTGATAACGAGGGGGTTTGGCCTAAAGAATCACGTCCATGATGAGGCAGCAGGGAGTACCTATCTGTAGACGATCCTACATGAAACACTCTCGGGCTTCTACTCACATGTCAGAGCCATCGGTATTTCTTGGGTAGGCACCCAAATAACAACATTCGTATTATCAACATGTAAGCTGTACGTAGGAGTTGTAACGTCATAGACCGGGACGAAATGAAGAGAATCCTAGCAACGACCTAGGCTGAGACGTCTACTTGGTGGTGTCGGGATGCTTGGCATGCATGGTGCTTTTATTATAAACATAGTCGTGGAGTCATCCGTTTGGGATAGAAGGAATTACGGTACGCACTATAGGTACTCTCTGTAGACTCACAGAAGTGAAGCGAAGCTGAGGAATGAGGCTAGATGGTACCTTACACAGAAGGTATCATCCATCTTCTAGGCGCCACCAGCGAGCAGCGCGCTCTCGGTTGGCTGTGAAGGGGAGGTCCATGTTCTTGCTCGAGCATCACTACACCACATGTAGGTTAGTGTAGAGCTGAGCAACTGAGGCACAGTAAGTACGAGCTGTCAAAGGTTGCACGCGTTCCACATTCTATTAAAGGTGTACCTGCAGATATGCTGCTCGCTAGACCTAGTAGAAGAAGGGTTGCATTTCCGTCCAATACCCCAGTAGTCGAAATTAGGTCTGACGGGTCACGATGTCTACAGCATGTAGGTGATATGAGCCGATCAGTGATGTACATTTGCAACAGGGTCAGAACAGGATGATAGAGACCCGGAGACCATGTCAAGCAGATTAGCGTTCTGGAGGTACCTGGTAGTGGAGGAGTCGATCATGGGTCCGGCCAGGGTTGGCATCCTGGCGATCCTTTCCGAGCTTTCAATAACCCTTGTTCGAGTGTATCTGGCAAA